TTTTTTTTTTTTTCAGGCTAAAAATGAGTTGTTTATCTCAACCTTCATTTTCAGAATCTGTCATCAATGAGGATTATTCAGGTAAAAAAATTTTACACTATTGCTTCAATTCCGTTATACCATTGCTCTAACTGCTTTTTCACTTCTTTGCAAAATATTACCGGACTTTATCAGTTTTAAGATGCTATAAGAATACATTTGATTTCCTCTATGATAACATTACTTTTTTGGGCACAGTTTTACAATGCTTCTAAATGACAATAAAGTTTTGGCGTGTAATTTTAGATTTTACGCCTTCAGTTTTGCCTACATTGTTGGCTCATCGGCTGTCGCCATCCGATGACGATTCATCGACGGCTTTGTATGATTCGGGTGTTTCTTCACACACCGCGGATGCCAATTTTGATGATGACGACGATGATGATGAACCACCACCAGTACTGGATCTCTATGGTTGTTCATTACCTGAACCTGTGCAAGCTATAGAGGTCTGCCCTAAATTCTCGGTATTGCTGTTCATTGATAGGATATAGCGTTCATACTTCTCGCTGGCTTTACGGTAGTTATTTAGGGTTTAATGGTCACCAATTGTTACGAGAGACCTATTTAAAGGTAGCATCTAGTAAAGATAAGCTTTATGGTTTAGTTTTTTCTTCTGTTTTGACTTAAACATTTCGATGATCAGCAGAACGTTTTTCACCAGCAAATGTGGTATCAGTAAATTAGTTTTGTAACGAGAAAAACTTGAGGTGTTTTATGGAACCGGAAAAGAATTGTAAAGTAAATTTTTTCTTTTTTTTCGCAAAATTTGTATTGCAAATTGTTTGGTGTCAATTTAGTAGAGTTTAAAATTTTTAAATTGTATTGTCTAAAGAGTAAATTTGAAATAGGAAGCTTTTTTTCCTTTGGAAGGGGGATTGGGGTGGGAGGGGGGGAGGAAGAGGGGTGGGCAAAAAAGGAGGCAGGGCAATAACTGTGCAGCTGTAAGTTGCTGTAAGAAAACTTAGTTATAATGGTATGTGTTATTGTGCTATTAATATGAGAAAAATTAAAGTTTTCTTAAATTTTTCTGCTATTTCTTTTGACCATTTTCTCAGTATTATTATGCTAGTAATCTGTAGTTTTTTTTTTTTACAATGATTAAATTTCAACAAAAATTGGCAGAAAAGTCGCACATTTAGTTATAAAAATTAATTCATCCTGATTTTAAAAAGTGTAAAATGATAGTTTTACACCATTAAAGTCTCATATTATGTTGCCGGACGTCTGTAAAACAATTTCTGTAAGAAAAAAAAAAACAAAAAAAGTTTGAATAAACTGAATTACAGTTATCAAAAAGAGAGAAAGTTACGGGGGGACCTATAACTGGAAAATTATTTATTGTTGGCAAATGAGTTTTCGAAGTTTTTTTTTTTTTAGGACGAGGCTCCGAGCACACCAGAAGATTCATCTGACGGGCGGCCGCTGTTAAAGATAGCAAGTTGCGAGGGACAAGGGCAGGAACTCGATTCGTCGGCTGTTCCTCCAAAGTTGAGCGCTGTGATGAAAGTTGAGAGCAGTACTTCGGAAGTCACCACCGGAAAGGTTTGGCAAAAAAAACCAAAAAAACAAGGGCTTTTTTTTGTTTTACACTTTCTTTCGCTTTGTTTCTTCGTTTAGTCAAAAATGTTGATT